TGTGTGCATCTATTCTAAATGGGATCCTTTCTGATTTCTTTTATATGTAGCTCGTTCCTTGCCCTGTTCCCTGAGTCCTTTTATTTTCATGCTCCTATTCTAGCTAAATCCTCTCTTGATTTTTAATCCACTTTTCCAGTAAAAGTTTCTGCACTTTTTCATTAACTCCCATTAATTTCAATTTACAAGAACATCCAGTGGGTTTTCAAATGACTACTTTAACCAACACCACAGGTATAAAATTCAATAAATTATGGCTTATGAAATAGGCCTGATATTGCTTCAGAATAACAAAATGTAATTGTTGGTGGCCTTGATGTAGTTATTCTCATGAAAGAAAACTCAGAAAACTTACTAACTTATGCCTAAGACCATTTCCATATCAAGTGCACATTCCTATGTATTATATTAATGTAAGCTTATCAAGTATATGTCAGTTTATTAATATTTATCAGAAATAATACATCTGCATATTTTTCCAGAAATTCACTTAATGCTAAATACCTTTCATCCACTCTATTCAGAAAATATGAATTTTTCTGAACATTTTAAGACTCCAAAATTACAACAGCTGACTCAGTCAGGATTTATTCTTTTCTATAATAAAATTAGTGAGTCTCATAGTTTTAAAAATAACTCCTTATCAAAATGTATGCTCTTGCCGGGTGGTGATGGCTCACGCCTTTAATCCCAGTACTCGGAAGGCAGAGCCAGGCGGATCTCTGTGAGTTTGAGGCCAGCCTGGACTACCAAGTGAGTCCCAGGAAAGGTGCAAAGCTACACAGAGAAACCCTGTCTCAAAAAAAAAAAAAAAAAGTGCTCTTAAGCTTCAGACTATTTGTATATGTCTTTGCTATAACTTTGTTAGAAGGGAAGAAATGAATAATATGTCACGGTATGCTACGTTGAGTATCGGTGTGAGGCAGTGTGGATGGCCACATGATGTCAGCTGACAAGTTTTCTCATGAGTCAATGAATATGTCGACTCAAGCAGAGTCAGAATCCACCTCTTAAGGTCCTAAGAGACTTGTAGAGGTTGACATATGTCTCGTCCACATCTGTCTGCGGTATGTGCTAACGATCCAGGTGACCTGGGGTGCTCACTGAACAAGAGGAGCGTGGGTCAGCGTCTAAAAGCTTTTGCTTTGGAGTCTGACGGCTCTGAGTTCTCCAGGCTCTGTAAGTTTAGACGAGCAGATTTCTGTTCTCATTAATGTTCATCTTGTCATCTGTAAAATGGGAGTCATGATTTAGGATTTCAAATAAGTCCAGGAGCTGTGGGAGGTTAAAATAGCATTTGTGAAATCATTCACACTTGAGAACTGGCCTGGTCACCAGATGTCAGCTTTACTTCCCACACTCCCCTATACGCGGCCCTTTTGTGATCCTGATGTGATCATCTCTGGTGTGGAACCTAGAGGACGCCACATTCAAAGCACTTGGCAAGGTCATTTCTGTGGTGATATTTTATTTGTGATGAAATGTGATATTTTATTGGTATGTTAATAAATAAAGTTTGCCTGGAGATCAGAGGTCATAGCAAGCCATAAACAGAAGTCAGGCGGTGGTAGCACATGCCCTTAATCTGATCACATGGCAGGCAGAGTTTCTGTGTGGTCAAGGACACAGCCAAATGTGGTGACACAAGCCTTTAATCCCAGTACCAACCATAGAGACCTGGAGGTCTGTACAGACAGACAGTGACAAGGAAGTGATGTGGCTGGGCTCAGAGCCAGTGAGAAGGCAGAACAGGAAGGCAATAAAAGCGCAGGTTAGACAGGAAGAAGCTCTCTCTTGGGAAGTTACGATGTGGTGGTAAGCTAAAGTTAGTCAGTGACTC